TCAGGGCATGAGCTGGCTGGTAGCGGCAGCAGGGGCGGCCTGGGCTGGCAGGGTAACCTGATCAACGGCATGGCCATGGCTAGAGTCCTGGGTGGCCGGGGCAGCAGGTGGCAAATTGCTAAGCCTGTACTCCACGGTGGCAGGAAGGAACCTAAATTGGGGTAATGCAGCCAGGACAGGAGAAGTCTCAGGGATGGCCAACGCCCTGCACAGCCTGGCCCAGCCCGCCCATCATGCCCTGGCTCTCTGTCACCCCTAGAAAGGGCTGGTGCACTCCATGTTTGAGCCTGGTCCAACTCCAGGGTCAGCGGATGGCACACGTGTCTCTGAGGTTGAACCACCCCAGGGCGCTGGAAGGGGATTCCTGAGGTGTCCAGGACGAATCAGGCCTCACCCTAACGGGTGTCCAGGCCCTCAGCAGATCAAAAGACCACAGCAGCCCCCACATTCCTCCCTCATCCTTATCTTCCCCGTCCTGAGCACTCTGCCAGGAGGCAAGCAGAGGGAACCCCGTCAGGACAGAGCCCTATATCCCTGCTGCAGGCATTTATTAAACACCTTCTATGCACTGTGCTCTGTATGAGGCACCAAGGGCGGTATTAGCCCTCTCAGCAGGTAAATGGGGCATATCCACAGCCAGGTACAGAGGAAACAGAATTGAGAGTTAGGGCTGGGTTTGCACTACAGCTCGCTGCTCTAGCTGTGGGACTTTGTGCAAGTTGCTTTGTCTCTGTAGCCTCAGTTTGCTCATCTGTAAAATGGGGCCAGATGCTAGCTAGATACTGAAACAAGCAAGCAGAAACATTGTGGATGAGAGCCTGTAATGCCTGGGGTTCTCACTCTCTAGAGCCGGTGCCCAGTTCCATTTCCAGCCCTGGCACCCAGCCCTGCCCGGGCGAGACCCTGTGGTCTGGGGGAACAGGGGTGGGGGTGGGGCTGGGCCTCGTGTGTATGGAAGGGGACAGCTGCTGTGCCAGATGAAGGCAGGGGCTGGGGGTGGGCACTGGTGCCAACGGAAGAGGTTGCTCAGCTCCTTCCTGGAAGCTGGCCCAGTGACTCACGGCCACGGCAGCCCAGCAGCTCACCCTAAGCCCCTGCGACTGTCATTCAGCCCTTGCTGCCTTCTGAGCCTGGGTCGGGGGATGCAGGTGGCTCCCCTGGTCCATCTCACTACTTATTCAATGGCAGAGACACATCTATCAGCCTGGCACGGGGCCAGTAGGCCCCTGAAGCCCAGCCACTCCCCACCCTGCCAGTAGAAGGAGGCCCACCTACTCTGACAGTGGGAAAGGCCATATGGACCCACCAGTTTACTGTACCCATGAGGAGACAGGCTCCAAGTGTGGCAGGGACTTGCCCAAGGTCATGGTGGGTCAGAGGCTGCCCGCCCACCACCACCTCGCCCAGAGAACCCGTGCCCTTGGGTGCCTCCCTTGACCAGAGGCCAGGGCCCAGCACAGCCAGACGCAGCCTCCTTGGCTGCATGCTGTGGGAGCAGAGGCTGACTTGGGAATGGGCCAGCTCTGTGCCCCCACATGACAGAGCAAACAGGGTCCCCACCCTTTGCCAAGAGGCCAAGCCTGGGTCTGAGCAGGAAAGGATCCAACGTCAGGCTCAATTCCTTGTGCCCCCACCTAGGGACACCTGTGGCCTCCTGAAAGTGGACCTGGCCCACCGCCAGTAGCCGGGCTCTTGGCGCCCCCTGCAGGCCAAGAGCAACAGGTGGGACTAGCTCCACAGGCGACCCCTTGACTGGGCAGAGGCGGGAGAGCACCCAGGCAGGGCTGAGGAGCCCTTCCCCTTCCAAATACAGCCTCTGCTGCGTCTCAGCCCCCTTCCTGCCCTTGTCTTCCCTCCAAGGGGCTCTGAGCTCCTGCCTGGGCCTTGTCAGGATACCACCAGTCTGTGCATCCTCTGGGAACCACCAAGTAGAGAGGAAGGAGGGGCGGGGAGGCCCCTGGGAGACCAGGAATGCGGGGGGTGGGGAGGGGAGGCTGGCCATCCTTGGCCTGATACCACCTACTTCGCACTTGCCCCGTGCTGTGTACTTGCCCCCACAATTACCTGGCATCTAGGATGTACCCAGCTGACAGCCAGGTGCATCACACAGCAAATCACCGGCATTCCTCTCGGCAGCCCTCTGGGTGAGAACCGTTATCTCCATTTACAGATAAGGAAAACCAGGCTCAGGTCCACAGCCACGGGAAAAGGAAACATCCTGGGGATCAATGCCACAGTGAGGAGGGCAGTGGCATCCCTGAGTCAGAGCTCCCTATGGCTGAGAAGGAAACATCACCCATACTTACACAGACTGCTCTCGGGGCCAGCGCCTACCTAGCCTCCCAGCTGTATCTAAGGCACATTAAATTAACCTCAGATGCCCACCAAACCCTGCTGGGACTGGGACTCAGGCACGTCCACTTTCAACAAACCCTGCACACATTTCTGATGCACAGCCAGATTCAAGAACCGTCACTTGGTCCAACTCACATACTTGACAAATAAAATTTAGCTGCCACCTGCAAACCTCCAGGGATAGGGAGACAGCCCCCCAACTGCACCCTGGCTAGCATCTTTGGGTTGAATAAACCCAGCTCCCAGCAGCTTCTGGCCACAGTGTCAATTCTAGTCTTTGAGCCGCACAGAGAATATTGTCTCTGCCCAAGGCTGTGAAGCCAGGCAAACGCCAGGTTCAAGTCCTGCTCAACCTCACCGGCTGTATGGCCCTGCACATGAGGTAAATTACTTAAAATGTCTGTGCCTCAGTTTCCTCTTCTTTCAAGTGGGAGTTGGTTGGCTGAGAGGATTAAATGCAATAAAGTAAAGTACTTAGCCCAGTCCCAAGTTCCATAGAAGTTAGCTCTTCTTATCTTTAGAAAGAATTCCCGTAAATAGGACTTTCTGTTTGCTTTTCTATTTGGTCACCATTCATTCATTCCCTCATTCAACAAACGAATGGTGACTTCCTGCCTCATTGCCTCAGGCCAGTGTCAGGCCATCTCTCACACACAGATCCCTCTTGCTCCAGGCAGCAGTTCCTCCATTCAGACAGAACCAGTGGTCCCTTCTCTTATTACAGATGAGGAAACTGAGGCCCAGAGAGCAGTGACCTTCCCTTTATCCTTCTTCAAACAAGAAATTTGCGCATCTCCCTTTATAAGATGCAACAGCTTCTTCACTGTCACCTCCAGAAAATCCCCAACCCTTAGGATACTCAGTGTGTGCTGGGCAAGCCCCTGCAGGAGGCCTGGCTCGCTGCAGAGTCTGGGGCAGCAGGAAACTCCAATCTGTGTGGCTGAGGCTGAAGGCAGAGCCAGGCCCGGAACCTCCTTCTGGCATGGGAAGGCCCCCCCTCCATCTCTGGGGCCTCAGTGTGTCCACCTGTAAAACGAGGGGTCTGGGCCAGATACCTTGTTGGGGAACATTGCTTAGGTGTGATTCTCTGCACTCTTGCTCCTCCAAGAACCTGGAAGGCAGCCCTGCCCTGGGAGGTGATCAGACGCATCTCCCACTCACCAGATGGGAAAGGGGGTCTTCCAGAGTCACCACTCAGCTCTCCTCTCCAGAGGCTGCCTCTTGTCCACCTACTATGTGCACTTGCGCTGGGCCAGAGACACTCAGGGGAAGGGTAGGGCAGGCTGAGGGGCAATGCTTAGAGCACAAGCCTCTGGGGTGTCCAGACCCAAGCTCTAATTCAGGTCTGCCCTTAGAGCTGGGTGACCTTGAGCCAGTCGCTCCACCTCTCTGAACCAGACCTGACACTTAATAAATGCTCAGTTAATGCTCGTTTCCCTTCCCTCAAGAGCGGTTCAGCTTCTCCCTCACAGGGCCCTTCCCCAGCTCTGCTCCAATCCCAGTGAGCACTTTGATGTCTTGCTTCAGGTCTCTTTGCCTCCTGACCCAGATCACAGAGTGTCTGTCCTTAGATGAGTTAGGGCCTCCCAGGCCCCTTCAATGCCACGAAGGAGGACAGGCAGGAGAAAGACCTATAGGTGTGAAGGGATTGGAAGTTGAGCTCTGGCACTTGCTATCTGTGTCATCTTGGACCTGTCACCCTCTTAGCCTTCATTTTAGAATCCATAAAACGGGCATAATCACTTCATAGATTTGGGGTGAGGATGCAACAGGGTGAAGTGCAGCCATGGTGCACGGCACCCAGTCGGTGACCTGTAACTGTGGTGCTCTCTCTCGTCCTCCACTGAAATGGAAACACTCACAGGCCCCCCTCCCGCATGTGCCTGGTCCCGGAGCACCTTCACAGAACTCCTCTCATTGAGATCATGATCCTCGCAATAACCCTCTGAGGAGCAGCCATCATTGCTCCATCTCCATAGAAACTCAAGGGGCAGAGGAGAGAGCATGCTGCACTTGGCTTTTGAACCCTCCATACAGCCGCCCACTCTCGCCACCACCACCCATATCCTGACCATCCCTAGACCTCTAGCCCGTCACTGCCCTCATTGTCCCACCTCCAAAGAGTGGCAACAATGCCACTGGTCTCCATCTGGTGGTCCTAGGATGTGGCTGGCAGTGAGGAACTTGGTCTTGTGGCCAGAAGGTGGGCCAAGGATCACTGGGGTTCCTGCCTAGGGCAGGGAAAGAGAGACCCTGGGCAGACAGCGGCTCCAGCCTCCTCGCTAGAGGGCATCTCGGCAAGGAATAATGGGATCCCATAGCCAGGTCTGGGGTGATGTCCTGGCACAGACAGTGGCACGGGGGCCGCCGGGGCAGGGAGGGCTCGATCAGCTTCCCTCCCACTGCTGCTGCCTGCTTTGCCTAACTTGAGATAGAGGCCTTTTGTGGAAGACAGCATTTCCACTCCCTTGGTGCCCCTAGAGCTGGGCAAGAGGACCTGTAACCGAATCAAGAGAGAAGTCAGCAGCCAGGCCCAATCACTGGGACGAGTCAGTTCCCAGAGACCCAGGCTGGAGCGCAGGCCTGGTCCTGGGCCGGGAAAGATGAGGAGGTGGGCTCTGCATCACATGCCACCCTCTCCCCAGGTACCTGGCCAAGCTGTCGTCAGTGGGGAGCATCTCAGAGGAGGAGACGTGTGAGAAACTCAAGGGCCTGATCCAGAGGCAGGTGCAGATGTGCAAGCGGAACCTGGAAGTCATGGACTCGGTGCGTCGCGGTGCCCAACTGGCCATTGAGGAGTGCCAGTACCAGTTCCGGAACCGGCGCTGGAACTGCTCCACACTCGACTCCCTGCCCGTCTTCGGCAAGGTGGTGACGCAAGGTGAGGGGAGGGCATGCAGGGCTGCAGGGGAGCCTGCGGTGCCAGGGCGTGGGCCCAGCAGGAAATGAGATGCTTGTGAGCAACGGGGCTATTCCAGGTCATTTCTAAAGTAAAACCAACACAGGGCCCAAGTGAGGGCATAAAGGATGCAGAGCGTTGGGGGCCCAGGACAGGAGGATGATCCAGGTGGGAGGCACATGTGGGATGGGGGCCATCAGAAGAGATGGCAGCTCTGTGCTGGGGCAGCACTGAGAAGCACACCGTGTTTCCAGTGATGACCTCCTGGAAGTGTAAGCAGGTAATGAAGGAAGAAACTGAGGCTCGGGCAGGGAACAGCACTGACTTGCCCAAGGTTCCTCAGAGGGAGAGGAGCATCAGGGCTCAGACGTGAGGCTCTGGATCCCTGGCCCGCTGCTCTTCCCACCCCAGCACTTGGCTTCCAGTACCTGGGCCCATCCCATTCCTTGGTACACCTGACCAACCCTATTGTGCACCTCCAGCACGGCCAGCCCTGAGATACAGGGATGTGCAGAAACAGAGGCACATGGAGGTTAAGTAACTTGCCCAAGGTCACAGAACTAGAAAGTGGCAGAGCCAGGACTCAACCCCAGGCAGTCCCGCTTCCAGGTCTGTGGTCTTACCCTCAACGAGGAAACGCTGTGATCAAGGGGCCAGGGGAGACTGGGAGCACAGGGTGGACACCACCCCTGGCTGGGGCTGGGATGCTCAGGGAAGGCTTTTCCGAGGAGACTGGCCCTCAGCTGAGACCAGAAATGTGAGATGGCATTAAGCCAAAGACAGGGGGGCCAGGGCATAGAGAACGGTCTATGGAACTGGAAGTCTCCTCCGGAGGTCGCCAGCCAAGCTCCTGCCCTCGAGGAAATACTCTAAACTATGGGCCCCTTTTTCTACTTCCTGGGCATGAAACTGACACTTCCGAGTCACTAACCATCGACAGGGCCCTTTGACTTGCTCAGGCAGCAGGAAGGGGTTGCCTGGGCCAACCCTTCTCCTGGCACCTGTGGTCCTGGACGGCCGGGGCTGCTGGGCTTGTGGCAAACCATTTGGATGTTGCTGGAAACCAACTGTGATAGAAATCTGGAAGCTGTTCTCCTAAGAGCTGGCAGGGGCCAAAAAGGCATGATCTCGCTTGGCATTGCTGAACATCACTGCTCTGGAAAAGCAACAGAGACCCAGTGAGCCTAGCCTGGCAGTGGAGGATCTCCCAGGATGACAGTGCTGCCTCCAGGCGGGCAGGGCTGCCTGGTCGATGGGGCCCCAGAACCAGCCTCAAACAGCAGCTCATGAGCCTGGGAAGCCCTTGGACAGAGTAGGTGTGTCTTGGACAGATTGGTGGATAGACTGGCAGCGTTTCATATGGCAGGCTGTCACCCTCTCCCACTCCTCCCTTTGCACATGCAACATCCTCTACCCCAAACACCCAAGCCCCCTTCTTGAGGGCTCAGCAGTTCCCTCCTCCACAACACCTTCTCAGCTCTTCCCTCTGGGCTCCAAAGCTCTTTGTTCTTCCTGTGGGATTATTTTGAATCATAATTTCAAACTTACAGAAGAATTGCAAAAGTAGGACAAGGAACTCCTATATCCTCTTCACTTGATTCACCAACCGCTTACACTTTCACCCATTTGCTTTGTTATTCTCTCTTTCTATATATACACACACCTTTTTATCTACACCATTTGTGTTCACGCTGCTTCTAGCACACCTTTTAGACTGAAATGCGTATCTCCTCACCCGACTCCACTCCCCCATCACTAGGACTCTGACCCTTCCAAGGCAAGGGTCATGGCTCATTGACCTGTTTCTTGGCACATGGCAAAGCCTGGCATGGAGGAGAGTTAGTGGATGTCATCTAATGACAGAAAGCAGGTCGGGGGTGAGGAATCAAAGGGGCAAGGAAGGGGGTAGCCTGGGCCAATGCTGGCCTGAAGTCATCGTGGGTACTCGGGACCCTGTGAGAAGCCCTCCTTACCTTTGGGGGAGGAACCAAGGGGGTACCCAGCACCGGCTCAGCAAGTTCTGAGGGACGCTGAGATTCCTACTAGGCCTGGGTGGTACCTGCTCTGGACTAAAGTCTGAGTGGTAGAGTCGAATGTCCAGCCCCCTTTGGAGAGGGACATGTCAAGGTGCTGAGACTAGGCCAGTCACACCTGGCAGGTACTAGTCGCACTTGGAGAAGGAGGCTAAGCTCTGCCCACTCATCAGACTCCTCCTTTTTGCATTTGTGGTTTTCTTCCCTAGTAAAATTCCTCTTGGAAACTTCTTAATTTGTCTCCAATGACTAAGAGGAAAAGGGGCTTGTCCCTCCTGAGGTCCGAGAGCGAAGCACTGCTCTCAGAAGGTCCAGGGACTGGCTGGTGAGGCAGATGGAGGAAGGGTGAGGCCGAGGATGGCCTGGGACAAGTGCCTGCGCTCCCCTGAGCATCTGTGTCCTTGCCTGGCAACAAGGCCACACGCAGGCCCACCTCATGAGGCTGTCACGAAGATACAGTGGCCTCACGCATGGGAAGCACTTCGTGTAGATACACCTCCCATCACCAGCTCCTGTCATCTACAGCAGCCCGTGTAAGCGGGCCTCACTCACATGCCCAGCTTTCAGGACCGGGGGCATGGCCAGAGCCTGCATACATGAGCCACCTGGCTAGGTCATGGCGTCAGACGTGGAAGACAAAGCTAGCAGGCCAGACCAGACCCACCCCGGGGTCTGAGAGGAGAGAAGGAGCCCCCATTTGTTGAGAGCCTGTGGTGTGCTATTGCATCAGGTCATTCTCGTGACACTCTGAGTTTATAGTGCTGTTCTCCCACATCACAGGTGAGAAAGGAAACTTGGCAAGCAGAGGGCGGTAACACCCCCAGCCCTGGGCCTGCCAACTCTTGGCTGGGAGATTCTGGGCAAGGTCTGTGCCCTCTCTAAATCCCAGTGTCCTCCTTGACCACCCCAGGACCAGCCTCCTAGGATTCCCGTGAGGATCAGAGAGATGATGCCTAGGAAGGGCTAACTGACCCCCACATGGCTCAGGGGTGGGGGGCTCTCCCACTGCCAGCACTGCCCCAGGTCTCACAGCCTCCCCTGCTCCTGGCCTGGAGGCAAGATGGACAGTGAAATAATCATGAACAATGAAGGTGGTGTGTAATTTGGGGCAAAACTGTGTGTTCTAGGCTGAACATCTACCAAAAATTTGGTAATGTAGCTGGCATAGCTGGGAGGGCGGGGATTGGTGGTTCTTGGCTGAGCAGGTATTCAGGGCTAGATGAGGGATGGCCTCTGTGTTTTAGTCACTACTTAATCCCAAGCCCTAGAACAGGACTTGCACATAATAGGTAACCAACAAATATTAAAATATTAAATGAGCAGGACCTGCATATAATAGGTAACTGATAAATATTGAATGAATTGTTAAATACTAAACTGATAAATATCAAATAAACCAATAAATATCGAATGAACCAACGGGTGTGAGGGTGGCAGGGAGGCCATAGCACCAGGCAAAGGTGTGCCTGGGCAGGGTGGGAGAGGCAGGAAAGGCAGTAAAAACTCCCCTTCTCCTGCTGTCCTCCATTTGTAGACAGCACTGGGCCTCCTTTGCCTCTACCGTGTCTTATTCTACGACCTTGAGCAAATCCCTATCCTGAGATGAGGGACTTGATTAATTCTAAGGCCCCCTCAGGGTCTGACTGCTGTGGCTGGGAGGCCATGTGGTGCCCTGGCCATAGCAAAGTGAGGGTCCAAACCCAGGCCTGTCTGTCCATTCCCCATGTCTAAACCATCTAGGACACCTTCCTGACTGTGGCACCACCTGGACCTAAGAAGTAAATGCTCTGTGGTCTTGGGTGTCCCTCACTAGAACCTGTGCTGTCACCTTTGTCCTCAATATTGGCATCACACTGGACCCAATGATGGGGAGAACATTTTTTTTCTCCTGGGTTACCTCTGTGACCCAGCCTTTTGATGCTATAAGTTACAGAAGATCTGGGGAGGAGATACCCCCGAGACATTCCCACACTGGGAAAGCCTTGAGGCTGCAGTGGCCAGACACACACAAGACAATTAGAAGATAAAGCTTGGGACATCCTGATTCTGACCACATGGGGCAGGGAGGCAAAGAGGTGCAAAGTCTGGCCTGCCGGGGTGGCATTATTATCCCTATGTTAGAGTTGAGAACACTCAACTCAGGAAGGCTCAGAAAGAAAGGTCACACTGCTAGTGAGAATGCAATACAACTTTGGCTCTGAAACCTTCGCTCTTTCCCTGATCCTGTATTGTCTCTTACATCTAAAGGGGCTTCCTGGAGCTGGTTTCAAGAAAAGGTGGGTTTTTGCACATCCAAGAGAGTAAAGGAATCTGGAAAGGCAGACTGGGCAGGGATAGAGGTTGGAGAACGGGGGATAAGGTTATCCTGGGAGACAGTGCCTATCCTGCCCCACCTCCCCAAGACTCCAGCTGGGCCTCACCTCTACCAAGATACCTGCCCTGGCACCCAGGGGATCAGCAAGCCTATGGCTTCATTGCCAGTCCAACTCAGCCTTAGCCAGTTCTCCAAACACTCCTAACTACTTCCTTCTCCCGTATCTGGGAAAGACTTCACAAGTGATATGCTCTGAAGGGCACAGGCCTTGAGTCTGACAAGCCTTGGTTCCAATCCCCACTTGGCCATTTACTGCCTGAGGGAGCCAGGGCAAGACACCAAGCCTCTCACCTTTTCTTCTATAGAGCAGAGCTGTAGAGAGCTCATTGCTAAGGCTGTCATGAGCCTTAGACAGCACATAGCAGGCCCTCAGAAAGAGTGGCTGTTAGTGGATTTACAGGTTAACTGAATTCCCAGCCCCAAGCAGCCTTAGCACCTTGGGAAAGGTGGCATTGAGGCTGGACCCAGAGGACACGCAGTATTTAGACCTGTGACATCAGGGGCCAGGGGTGCTCTGGGAAGAAGACACAGCAGGAAGAAATGAGCTGGGTGTGGGAAGGGGCAAATGGCTGTATGAAAACGGAAGTCACCATAGAGTTCTGCCTTACCCTGGCCCCTGGCCCAGGAAAGGACAAGGCAAGGATTGCCTTCCTCCCTCAAAAAGTCCCTGGCCAGGGAGCAGGATCTGCCACTTTGCTAGGGAAGCTCTGCTGCTACCCACCCAGGTGGACCACAGTTCTTTCTCTATGTCTGAGTGGCCCCTGGGGAGAGTGCTCTGCCAGGTCCTCCTCAAGCGAGCAGGGCTCCAGCCTGGGCACCTGGGCAGAGGTGAGGAACTGGGAAGGGCCACCACCCTGGAGTCCAAGGGCTGGAAGCCAGAACCAGGTAGAGAAGGCTGGAGGAGCTGCCATCAGCTTTAGGGGCACAGATGCTTGCCTACATCTTCCAGGCTTTCTGGGGCCTGCTGTGCTGAGCCCAGAGGCCAGCTGCTCACCGTCCCCCAGTAAAGAACCCACAGAGGGAACTGGGCTTGTCCTACAGCATGTGAAGTTTAGGGTGGACCTAAGGAAGCCCTTCTTGGCTCCATATGTGGGAGGTGGAATCAACTGCATGTGTATTCCCAGGGGCTCAGGGCCTCTGGGAGGCAGAATAATGTCAAGTTTGAAAGCTCTGGAGTCTGGCTGCCTGGGTTCAAATTCTAACTCCACCACTTCCTGGCTGGGTATTGTTGGACAAGTTGCTTTACCACTCAGTGCCTCAGTTTCTCCATCTGTCAAAGATGAATGAAAAGTATCTACTTCGCCGGGCGCGGTGGCTCAAGCCTGTAATCCCAGCACTTTGGGAGGCCGAGACGGGCGGATCACGAGGTCAGGAGATCGAGACCATCCTGGCTAACATGGTGAAACCCCGTCTCTACTAAAAATACAAAAAAATAAGCCGGGCGAGGTGGCGGGCGCCTGTAGTCCCAGCTGCTCGGGAGGCTGAGGCAGGAGAATTGCGCGAACCCGGGAGGCGGAGCTTGCAGTGAGCAGAGAGCGGGCCACTGCACTCCAGCCTGGGTGACAGAGCGAGACTCCGTCTCAAAAAAAACAAAACAAAACAAAACAAAAAAAAAAAAAAAAAAAAAAAAAAGAAAAGTATCTACTTCATAGGGTTGTTGGGACAAGTATATAACACATGTGAAGTGCTTAGACAGAGCCCAGCACATGGTAAACTGTCTCTAAGCTTTAGGTTGTTAATCTTCCTTCCAGAATCTCTTCCTTCAGGCCCAGTCCTGAGATGAGAAAACAGTGTTCTTGTTCCCAAAGCCAGGGCAAAAGGAACCTGGAGTCTCAGTGGATGAATGTTGGTTTGGAGAATGAGGCAGAGGTCTCTCTGAGCAACCTCCCTGGGGGCCCTGCACCCCAGGGACCCCCAGTACACAGGGGAGATCAGCCTGGGGCTGGGGTTGGGCTGGGGTGGCCTGGGAGCGGAGACCAGCAGAGGAGGAAGGACCATGTGAGGCCAGGCTGAGGTGACCCGCCAGCCCCGTCTCGTCAGCCAGCCCCGTCTCCTGCTTTGACTTCCCTTCCCCCTTGGTCTTTGGGGCAAAGATTTGTGCTGGTTCAGGCCTGGAAATACCAGAAATACCAGAAACTGAAGTCGTCTCTCTTTGGGCGGCCACAGCATAAAACCAACCAACATGATCCTGCTATTAACCTCGATTAACTTGGAGAAGACTCTGTCTCAGGCTGTCGAGGCTCCATTGCTCCAGCCAAGCCCCCCAGTGCTGGCCCAAAATGGCCAAGCCAGGGTGGAGAGTGGGCAGTGGAGAGTGGGTGGTGGGCACTATCGCCAGCTGAAGGGCCGAACCAAGAACAGGGCGTCCTGAGTGGTCGGGGACTGAGATGCCTCCCACCCCAGTGCTCGGCCTCTACAGCCTCTGTCCACAGACAGGGGCACAGAGAAGGTGATTGTTTCCATCTGACCACGGTGCCTGCTCCCTGGGGCAGCCGAGAGCACAGGCCTGGGTGTCACAGAGGTAACTGCCAACCATGGGGCCAAAGCCTGCCCCCTCCACTCCTGTGGACACAGACACTCCGACAAGAGACAGAAGGACAGTCACAGCATACAGAGGCCCTCCTCACAGGGCCCAGGAGGGGAGCATGGTCTGCTGTCTGGTCACACACCCAGCCGGCCATGCATACTCCAGCTCGCACACTGCCCCCCACCTCCAGAAAGAGAGTCCACAACAGCTACACCCCCAAGGCACAGTTCTTAGGAGGATAAAAACATCCATTCAGGCAGGGGACGAGGGCCGAGGGCCGGCACCAAAATAGAATCACTGAGAAGTCATGCGGCAGAGGCGGTCAGACGTGTGCTTGAGTCTTGGTTCCGTGGCTCTCTGGCTGGGTGACTGGGACCAAATCCCTTCCCCGGCTGATCCTCCATTTCTCCATCTATAAAATGGGGGACAATGAAGCCCCCAGTGGTGGAGGGCTTATGCGTAATAGGTATCTCCTAATTAGCCACAATAGGGGTTAGGGGTTACGTAGAAGCTGCTGTTATTACGGTTTACTCTAAGGAAGCAAGACATTTTCAAAAACAGGCCGAGTCTCAGAGGAAGGGGCAAGATCATAAGGTAGGGTGACTCCAGTGGGGCCAGCTGGGGAACAGGCCAGAAAAGGAAGCCAGACCTTTTCTCCTTCCAGGCCTTCTTCCTACCTGCAGCCTTGGCAAGCCGGTTCACCTCTCCCAGCCTGTCTGGTCTTCCATAAACCTTCACAAACCTTCTGGGGAGGGAGTGAGAACAGCTTCCCACAGGAGCTGGGAACATAGGCTCTGAAGCCAGACTGTCTGCTGGCTCAGTGACCTCGGAAAAGCCCCCAAGACTCTGTTTAAATGGAGATGGTAACAGTCCTTGCCTTCTGGGGTGGTTGTGAGGATGACAGGATCTGCCTGTGTGAAGAGCCCTAAGCCATGCTCTGGTAAAGAAAACAGATTCAGTTATTGGTGTGATAAGAACAAGCACCTTCCTGATTTCTGCCTGTCTTGCTCCCTTCTGGCCTCCAGCAAGCAGGAGGCCCCATATGCCCCTCCCCCTCTACAAAGGAGGGTGCAGGGAGGAGCCCTGGGACCCAGCCCTGCCCTCCGTCTGCCTCCCACAGGGACTCGGGAGGCGGCCTTCGTGTACGCCATCTCTTCGGCAGGTGTGGCCTTTGCAGTGACGCGGGCGTGCAGCAGTGGGGAGCTGGAGAAGTGTGGCTGTGACCGGACGGTGCACGGGGTCAGCCCACAGGGTAGGTGCAGGAGGTGGTCAGAGTGGGAGGGCAGGGGGCATGACCTTGGCCCTCACTCACCACAGCCCTCTCTGTGCCCACCACACCCCAGGCTTCCAGTGGTCAGGATGCTCTGACAACATCGCCTACGGTGTGGCCTTCTCACAGTCGTTTGTGGATGTGCGGGAGAGAAGCAAGGGGGCCTCGTCCAGCAGAGCCCTCATGAACCTCCACAACAATGAGGCCGGCAGGAAGGTAGTATGGTGCTACCAAAAGCGGGGTAGGGATAGCGTGCACAGGGCCTCACATACTCTCCCACCCACATGGCCACTCAGAAAACATTTGTGCAGGCTCTCACCAGCACCTGGCACCTTCTGTAGGTCCGTGGGGTTCAAGACAGGCCAGGTGGGGGTGCAGACAGGTGGGCAGGTGTTACAGACAGGGTAAGTGGCCCCCTCCATACATATGGCCCCCCACACACATACATACATGTGTGTCCATCCCTGTCTCTCATATACATTGACTCCCCAAAAGAGCAGCAGAGCTAGGATGTAAACCTTTCTCCCCATCACCATGAAGATCGTGTGCCTGTAACGCCACCTGCCTTCTGGATGCCTACTCCCCAAGGTTCCTACAGAAGTTAAATGCAACAGTGTTCTCCCTACCCAGCACCTGTCACTCACTGTTGATAGGACACCACCCTTAGTGCTTCTCTTTCATCAACTCCCAATGCCCCAAGTGCAGGGACAGTACCTTGTTCACCTGTCACAACACTGCTTAGCAGCCCAGTACCGCATAATTCGTAAGAGGAGGTACAACAGCAAATCTGACTGCAGCGTCGGCCCCAGGGCACCAACACTCCGCTGTCAGCCTCCAGGGCCCCTCCCCGCCTCCCCTTGCCATCTCCTGATGGCCCCTCTCCCCTACCCTCTCCCACAGGCCATCCTGACACACATGCGGGTGGAATGCAAGTGCCACGGGGTGTCAGGCTCCTGTGAGGTAAAGACGTGCTGGCGAGCCGTGCCGCCCTTCCGCCAGGTGGGTCACGCACTGAAGGAGAAGTTTGATGGTGCCACTGAGGTGGAGCCACGCCGCGTGGGCTCCTCCAGGGCACTGGTGCCACGCAATGCACAGTTCAAGCCACACACAGATGAGGACCTGGTGTACTTGGAGCCCAGCCCCGACTTCTGCGAGCAGGACATGCGCAGCGGCGTGCTGGGCACGAGGGGCCGCACATGCAACAAGACGTCCAAGGCCATCGATGGCTGTGAGCTGCTGTGCTGTGGCCGCGGCTTCCACACGGCGCAGGTGGAGCTGGCTGAACGCTGCAGCTGCAAATTCCACTGGTGCTGCTTCGTCAAGTGCCGGCAGTGCCAGCGGCTCGTGGAGTTGCACACGTGCCGATGACCGCCTGCCTAGCCCTGCGCCAGCAACCACCTAGTGGCCCAGGGAAGGCCGATAATTTAAACAGTCTCCCACCACCTACCCCAAGAGATACTGGTTGTATTTTTTGTTTTGGTTTGGTTTTTGGGTCCTCATGTTATTTATTGCCGAAACCAGGCAGGCAACCCCAAGGGCACCAACCAGGGCCTCCCCAAAGCCTGGGCCTTTGTGGCTGCCACTGACCAAAGGGACCTTGCTCGTGCCTCTGGCTGCCCATATGTGGCTGCCACTGACCACTCAGTTGTTATCTGTGTCCATTTTTCTACTTGCAGACTTAAGGTGGAGTAACAAGGAGTATTACCACCACATGGCTACTGATCGTGTCATCGGGAAAGAGGGGGCCTTATGGCAGGGAAAATAGGTACCGTCTTGATGGAAGTCACACCCTCTGGAAAAAAGAACTCTCAACTCTCCAGCACACATACACATGGACTCCTGGCAGCTTGCGCCTAGAAGCCATGTCTCTCAAATGCCCTGAGAAAGGGAACAAGCAGATACCAGGTCAAGGGCAGGAGGTTCATTTCAGCCCTCACATGGACAGCTAGAGGTTCAATCTCTGTGGGTCCTTCCAGGCAAGAGGAGGGAGGTGAGAGCAAGAGAAGGCTGAAGTTCCACCCTAGAGCCCAGCCTGCCCCCTGGGCGGAGGAAACATAACCACTCCCCAGACCCACCTAAGCAGGCATATAGGCTGCCATCCTGGACCAGGGATCCTGGATGTGCTTTTGCAGTCATGCCCCTGAGTCAGCTTTCACAGTGCTGTTCCTCCATGAAACTGAAAAAGGAAACCACACACACACACACACGCACACACGCACATGTGCAAGAGAGAGGGAGGAAAGGGCTGTGCAATAAAGTCCTCTGCCGTTATCTTACTCAACACAATTTATTGAGCAAATACGACGTGTTCTAGGCCCTGTACGGACCATCTCACTTGATGGCCTCAACAGTCCTGGGAAGCAGACAAAACAGGAATGCTAATGCCCATCTGACAGCAGAGAGGGCAATGCTCACCAGACCTCACAGCAAGCTTGATGGAGAGGTAGGGCCAGAAGAGTCCTCCAGCCAAGCCTCTTCCTTGGTTCTTGTACCCTAAGGCACATAAACTGCAGGTCTTCTTGGGTCTGAGCCTGGGGCAGGGAGTTCTGGCTGGAGGAAAAGGGGCAGGGAAGCAGCAGGAGTCAAAGATCACAGGCTGAGCTGGAGTCCACATGGTTCCTGAGGGCAGAACAGGCTCTGAGGAAAGACGTGAACAGCTAGAAGGTTGACAGTGAGGTCTCAGCAGTGTGGCGCACCCATCCCCAGCATATCTGGGTCCCTGGGGTCCCAGGTACCATGGTTACTGCAAGATTTCCCAAGAGACAGCACCAGCAACCTGGGCCTGACCCTGTGCAACCGCCAAACCATCAGGAGCCCCGCCCAGGCTTGTGAGCAGGACATGCACAAAGCAAGACCTTGCCCCTGACCCAACTGCTTCTCAGACGGGCTTCCAATCACCAGAGGAAGTTGCTGTCAGCCCAGTTTCCAGACTGCCCCCACATTGGGGCTCTAAGTTTCAGGTCTGAGATCTTATGCTCTGTGATCCCCCATTTGGGGTTCCCAGACTCCAAGCTCCTGACTCCTGTATTCAGTGGCTGAATTCAACATCCGAGATTTGGAATATGGGCTCCAGCCTGCAGAAACTCCTCTCCAGGCATTATGGTTTGTGCCTCCTAGTGTTGGCTCCCTCATGAAAAGAGGGTCAACACCCTTGGCCCCCAGCCAAGATCTCTGCTCAGTGTCCACACAAGGAGGAAGCCAAAACTAAGTGAGATGCTGGAGCCACATTCAAACGTGGGGATAATCTTGGAGCAGGCCAGCTCTGATGTGGATGAAAGCTGAGCCAACTGTCGCCACAGCTGCCCAGCTGGGTCCACTGCTCCTCTGGCTGGCTGCAGCTGTCCACTAAGCCCAAGAAAAATACTATCCCTCAATAGCAGAGGCCAGACCCAGTGAGAGGGAACAGTGAGGACCCCTCCCCTCCCAGAGACAAGAGCTGAGCCACTCTCCCCATGCAGAGAACAGTGGGTCCAGGTTGGATGCTGGTATGATGGGAACTGCCCTTTTCACCTGCCAGGGAGTTCCTAAAGCTGATCTTCCTGGGGTTCTGAAGGTTGCAACCTAGGTTAATCAGACCAGATTCTAGGAACCACTACCCAGGCCGACCACCACCAGTGCTGCAGAGGTCAAAGAAATCCACAGCCACAGGAAAAGGAGCTTCTTTGGACATGCCCAGCTCCAAACTGTCCTGGGGGAACTGGCACAGCCCTTACATAGCCCACCCCGTCTTGGCCTCACTGTGGCCTGGAAATTGGCCAGAAGGTCCACATCCTGCCCAAACCACTCTCCTCTCATCCCAAGGCAAAGGTGATGCCCTGAGGCCTAGGGCTGGATAAACCCCAGCTCTGGATGCTGCTAACCCACTCTGCTGCCCCACCCCATCCTCCAATTTTTATACTAGGCTCTTTGCCATTGTGACGTCCCCATGACATAGTCTGATGCACGATAAAACAATTATTTCTTTATCTTGCAATTGTGACAGTGACTTTTTTTATAGAATAGGGAGAAGAGACTTGGAGAAGGTCATGGGAATAGCAGATAAATAGTAGCAAATTCTATATATAGGGGCCCTTTTGCCTTCTTAATAGGTGGTTTGAGGGCCACAAGAACCCACCTGCATGCTTTCTGAAACTTCACTACTCACAAAGGCTTCTTCATGTGCGTTTCACTGGGTCATGACCAGCTACTTAAACCTTGGCCTAGTCAGATCTTTCAAGAGTATGGATGAGGGCCTGACTGAGTAGAGGGCCTGGTAAACTGGGTACTGACATGGGAGGTAGGGGACAAGGGAAAAGGACTTAGCTTCTATCCTGAGACATGGGAATCCAAGGACTATGGCTTACAGGTAAACTCTAGAATTAGAACCCAGTTAGAATAAGGAAACTGGGTGGAAAACTTCATATAACTCAAGTCTAAAGCCACAGCCAAGGGAACTCGTTGCTGATGGGGAGATCCAGGGTGGCTTCTCAGGAACCTCCCTTCTAACGGAGTGAAGTCCTTATTCTTACCAAAGCAGGCCACGGCCTGTCCCCGACCCCCGCCGCAGCAAATTCACAGCAGCCGGGGAGTGGGGAGGCTGCTGTGTGCTCAGCTTTCCAAAAGCTTAGCGGGGTAAAGAGCTAAAGGAAAGTGCTTTCAGGACAGCAGGGGTGCTTATGAACTGTAAAGAATAGGGGGCAGGGGCATAATAGACAAACGGAGGTCCCGGGACACGGTCTAGAGTACAGGTGGACAAAAAAGGACACCTCATCCTCAAAATCGCAGGGAGAGGGGATAGAGGGTACAAGAAGAGCAAATAAGTCAAGGTTAGCAACATGGTGACACTCCACCTCTACAAAAAAATTCAAAAATTAACGTAGCACGGTGGCACACACCTGTAGTTTCAGCTTCTCAGGAGGCTGAGGAGTGGGGATCACTTGAGCCTGGGGGACAGAAGTTGCAGTGAGCTGAGACTGCATCACTGCACTCCAGTCTAGGCAACAGGGCAAGACCCTGTCTCAAAACAAAACGAAATCAAGAAGTCAAGATGACCATGCTGGATCATTTTCTAGACTATGCAAAGGTCCCAGGCTTTGCAATCAGATAGACCTGGTTTGGATCCCAGCGTTGCCATTTCTTCACTAGATAAAACCTCGGATAATTCGTCATCCTCTCCCAGTCTCACTTCTTCATCTGTAAAATGGGCCTGTCCCACCCGCTTACACACACACTTCAATGGGGCTAGATAATAATAGAATCTATTTGTTGGGGGTGTTAAATACGAGAACATCTGTCAAGTTCAACAACTCTTCTAGAAAGCTGCTGGCTCCTTTGCCCAAATGCCCTCGCCTCAGTTGCTGCCCTGAGCTCCCTCAGCACCTTCTCTAATTCTCCCTCTCCTTGTGTCTACCCTCCCAGACAACTCTCACTGGAAATATTACTATTCCCTTTTCAGGAACCCAGGAGGCAGTGAAGGTCACGGCAGTGAAGGTCACTGTAAGATGAAGGGGGCAGGAGGGGAATGAAACGAGGAGTGGCTCGATCCCTCTAATTCACATGGAACGGGTTGGGGGCTGAGGCAGGTGCCCCAAGACTTTGGCCCTACCCAGAGCTCAGAAGCAGGCAGATCTCTACCCAAAGTAGAAAACCCCAGGTAGGAGAGCAGAGAATCCCAGGGGCCAGGATACCCAGGCAGTAGCCAACAAGGTTATGGCAAAGCTGTCCCTACGCACCAGCTGGGAGGGCTGACTGAGATCTCAATGTCTGGGAAAAGCAGGGCAAGGCCAGAGAGCAGGGCCAAGTCGGAAGTGCAGACAGGAGTGCCAGAGCTGCAGGAAAGGGTGTAGTGGGCCCCAAGTGCTCTGCCTGTGGGGACAGAAGGAAGGCTTTCAGGCTCCCAGGCTGGGTCCGCTTGCAGAGAGCCTATGTCCAGGCTCCATCCTTGTAGCTGCCCTCAGAGTTTGGGCCTGAAGTTCTCTGGGAGAGCTATGAAAATGCAGTGACAAAGCAGACCTCCTTCTCAGCCTCTTCCTGAGAACAACCAGTCCATGGGAAGTGTGGGGAGCAGCAGAGGCCAAGCAAAGGCCAGAGAACACAGGAAAACAGGACAGAAGGGAAGTCTAGGAACTAGACAACTGCAGGAGACTAAGAAAGGCTAGACATAGAGTGAGGAAAAGGCAGAGAGGGAGGACAGATGTGAGGAAGACAGGGAGAAAGAGATAAGAAGAGAGAAGATGCTGCAGGAGCTCAGAGCAGCGACTGAGGTGAGGGCGTCTGGGCAAAGGAGCCCAGCAGCTTCCTAGTAAGAGGAGAAAAGTGCTGAGCTTCAGGAGAAAGTGTCTGATTCAGAAAGGGAGCTGGGGAGGTGCAGTCTGAGGCATGTGGGGGAGGGGTGTGTGGAACACGGCCTGGCCTGGCCCAGTCGATGACTTCATAAGCATCTCCCCCAATTCCTTCCTGAGCCGCCAGTCCTGGTGACCCCTGCCCACATCTCAAGGGTCTAGGCCAAGCAGGCGCTGACAGGGGAGAGAAGGGGCCCTTCTGGGCCAGGCCCCCAAGCCTGGCACAGTGCCTGCTGCGGGAGGAGGGGACTAGAGGCCCAGCCCTTGTCAGCATCCCGGCCGGCACTTCGGAGGCAATTAGCAGCCCAGCTGAGCTAATCCCCCGCCTGGCGAGGCCAACACAAACAGGCCCAGACCGGGTGCACACTCGCCTCCCTGTTTGCTGAGGGGCTCGGTGGTCCGCCAAGAACAACACCAATAACCCAGGGCCTTCTCTAGGTTAAGAAGAGGACCGGGGCCTGCTGAAGAGCTGACAGTGCCCGGCAGAGCACACTCTGGCCAGGTGCCCTGGCCGCCCCAGAAAGGCAGCCACTGTTCCCAAGCCTTGGGCCAGTTGGGAAGAGGAAGCTGGACACAAGGAGCCATGTATTCCAATTCAGCACACACCCCACCTCCTCGTGCCACCTGTGAGGAAGAAGGCCTCATGCAAGCTTGTGCCACCTTGGCCAGCCCAACAACTGAGACCAGCAAGGGCTGGGCCCTCTGGTCAGGACCCAAGGATTACAGGCTCAATGCTGAACAGGGAAAGGCCAGAGGCAACTCAGACCTGGCCCCTGCCCTCAAGGAGCTCAGTCAAGCCAGAGAACAGATTGTGTGTATCACCTTGGAGCAGTGCCAGTCTCTAGCCCCACCAGCACCCCAAGACTTGGGAAGGCTAAGGTAGAACCCTCAAAACAAAGGGAAAGGGGCACCCAGGAGAAGGAACTGAGGCCCAGAGACTGATCACTGTGGAAGATGGTGCAAAAGCCAGCGGGAAGGACCCAGGACAGGCTTTGCCAGACTGGTCCTGGACCAGGCAGTGGCTCCTCTGGGCTTAATTAGCTCAACTCGGCAGCCACTGGGAGAACGCAGGCCCCAGGCATGGCCCTTCTCATGTAGCCCCGCTTCTTTTTATTTTTGAGGCAGAGTCTCACTCCATCATCCAGGCTGGAGTGCAGTGGCACAATAATGGCTCACTGCAACCTCTGCCTCGTGGGTTCAGGCGATTCTCCTGCCTCAGCCTCCCAAGTGGCTGGGATTCCAGGCACCCAGAGTTTCACCATGTTGGTCAGGCTGGTCTCAAACCCCTGACCTCAAGAAATCCACCTGCCTCAGCCTCCCAAAGTGCTGGGATTACAGGCGTGAGCCACCGCACCCAGCCTAGCCCCGCTTCCTGATTCCAGACCAACTCTACTTTCATCATCCCTGAGCCCCCTTTGAGCCAAAGCCTCCATCCTCAATTTGGTTCCTCACCTACCCAAGGACTCCCTTTTTTTCATAAGTCCTCACAGGCCTCCTGCCAGATATAAGGGTCAAAAATGGACTTTGTAGCAACATCAGGAACAGTTGCCTCCTTGAAGCTTCTAGTAGAGAAAGCAACAGACATGACCTCCCTGAGACAGCGATGCAGGACACTACTAATTATCAACACTCAACACCACACCATCTACTGAGCAACTCACCGACTGTGGGTCAGGCCTGCACTAAAGCACCATTTACTAGCATTATCCCATGTCATGTTCATAGGCAAGCAAGTGAACACAAACATTTCCTATCAGATAAACCAACTCAGAGGCAGGTGTAGGCTTCATCACTATTTTACAGGTGAGACTGAGGCCTACAGAAGGGAAGAGACTTGCCCAAGAGCGGAACCTAAGGCTTCAGCACTTGGTCAGGATGGAATATGTCACCAGAGGCCCTCCTCAGTCCCACAGATCCTCCACTTCCCTCACTCCACTACTGGCGTAGACCTACCCTTGGTGCTTCCTCGCCAAAGGGCTTCAGAGCCTTGAGCCCACCCCTCCCCACACAGGAGCAAGAAATCTGTCTCTGGCTGAGCTAAGCTGGACTCTGTCACTCTGCTGGAGAATTACACATCGCTCTACAGCTTTCTCTTTAAGGCAGGGGATGAGAAAGCTTGGAGTCACATTGCTAGAGCTGACAAAGCCATAGCTGGAAACAGCAGCCCACCCCCTACCCCTTTCCCGGGCTGGCGTGGCAGAAGAACTTTAGGCCCAGTTCCAGGCCTGTCAGATTGGCTGTCAGGTGCCTGCCTGCAGCAGGAAGGGGCTGACAATCCAGTCCAAACCCCTTCTGAGTTGTTCCCACACCTGGCTCTAGAGCATCTTGCCTGAACCAAGGTATAGATGAGTTGACGAGTCCTTTTCCCCTTCAGTTCAGCCAAACGGAGGTATTTTTCAAAAACATCTTTTACTAGGAAATTGAAGGAAAACAAACAGATCGTAAGTACACAGCAACAAGCAGATTCCTAAGCAGGACTTTAACCAGCACCTAATCAGAGCCCTATAGATGCTTGCTTCTCCCTTCTCTCCTCATGAAGCCTCTTTCTAGGCATCAGAAGACCTGGGGTCTCATTCCTCATTGCTGGCAGCCTGAGGAATCTGAAGCAAGTTCATAAACCTCTCAACCTCATCTGTAAAGTAGAG